GCACAAGGAAAAGGAGAGAATGCCAATATTGCTACCATTTTGGTTCAGCCCCTTCTTGGGAATGGGTGTCAGCAGCCAATTCTGATGGCTTTTAAGTCTCTTTCAGTTCCAGACCCCATGAACAAAGAAAACACTCATACAGGATTCTGGAAACTCTAAAAGCCTGAAAAACAGCTACTTGCCCCTTTAGGAAGGTTTCCAAAACAATGGCTGGCAATGAGAACAAATGATCTAAATATATTTCCAGAAAAAAATATTTGCTGCATAAGTAAGCGCGGATTTTACTGATCGTATGGTTTGAATTCAAAATCATGCCCAAACTTTTAAAGCTCCTATTAGATTCTTGAGGGTTTTCCCTGTTTGGGGTTGCCAAAATGCTAGTATTATGAATTTGGTATGGTTAAGGAGTTGTGGACATTATTCTCCAGACCATTACATAAATATATAATCCATTACATAAATATATAATTATTTTGAGAGATTAACATTATTGTCATAGACAGTTGAATATAAATTTATTTATAAATAGAGCAAAATAAACTAAGGCTTTTATCCAAAATATGTTGTAAATAAGCAGTAGCGTTAGAGTGTTTTCTGACAACCACACGTTGTTCTAGTGGCCTGTCTCTTTTTAATCCATTGTCCAGTATTTGCCTCCAACGCTCAGTGACAAATCTGAAGTTACAGAGTTACCATCACTCTTCTCAGCATTTTCTGTCCATAACAGAAAAAGGAAAGATGCCTTTGAATTTGTGTCCAGTTGGATTGCGATTCAGACTGCCTACGTGACTTCAAGAGTCTAAGTTCCAAGTACACAAAATGATGTGGGTGATGAAACAGGATTTATGAGGGAGAAAAGTTGTCTGAATCATCACTTTTTAGGGATGATTTATAATTTTTTTAATCAGCTACCAGTGACAGAGCCCAAAGAGATGAAAGAGAGGAATTTGCAGCTACAAGATACTTGCTTGCTGGAATCCAGCAGTCCTAGCCAGATTACTGAAGCCAAGCTACTGTTACCAGAGAAATATTTTCCAGAGCATGAAAATAGTTAAGAATTTTGTAGGGCATTGCACTGAGGATCAGTGTATTTCTGATATTCATTTATTTTCTGTGTGTTTCTAGTCTAGGCCTAAATCTGTATTTTCTTGAAGTTATGACACTGATGCTCACTGGTAAAGTTCTTTCTTTGGTAATTTGTATCACCTTTCAATTTGAACATGCATGTCAGTTATGTACTTCCCAACTTTCCCACTTATCCCCTATGTATACCTGGGTGAGGCATAGTGATGTGTAAATGTTGTTTCTATTTCAGGCAAGTGATAAAGTGTGATATGTTAGATGTGACTCAGACTTACAGCACTGCAGGATCATCATATAGGATGTTTGCTTGCTTCCATGACTCTGTTTTTACTGATGCATTCAAATTAGAAAGATTCCAGGTTGTATTTTGAATGGTATGTCTTAAAGTTTCAAATATGAAGATGAAATTCTCTTAAAGCGTGTGATGATTGACTTCAGCTACTTAGATAAGCAATATACAGATTAATAACTTCATTTCATGCTATAGCATTATGTATTCCTCAGCTTTTAAAATATAGAGAAATATCTCTTAAAGCTTTTTCTATCTTGACAGGCACTTGTTTGAAGGACTTTGCCTCCTAAGCTTCTTGTTCTTCCTGGAGCTGCTGGCACTCAGCTGTAGGCCTTTTCCCTTTACCTTGCCCCATGTAATAGTCAGCCACAACCATTAAACATATTTTTTTAATCTGATTATTTTGTTTGTAGCAAATCTCACTTCCTTCTGAACCTTCCTGAGTCACTGTGTGTCATCTGAGGAAACTCAGTGAAGTCAATCTGTGCCGTATCTGTGTAAAGAATTGATGAACAGATGTTAAGAGTGTTATGCCTTAGGAAGTTACTGTCAACAGTTTGGGCCTTAATAAAGTTCTGTTACTAACTGGGGCAGGGGAAACCATGGACCCATGCTCTGAGATGGGGGAAAGGAGGAAAAGTAAAAGGTAGGGAGATAGGTCTAAGAACAAAACAGCAGCAATGAGCCAAGGGAGCAAACTAAGTTACTAAAATTGATAGCAGAATGCAAGATAACACAATATAATACAATATGATTGGAATTGAAGCTAATAAATAAAATAAAATGAGAGAGTGTCCAAAACCCAAGGCCTTATTCTAATGTGAATGCAAGACAGCTGGGGAATATAAACCACGGAGACAAGCAATAAAATAAGTGGCAATCTCATGACTCATGAGCAGTTTTATCTGAATGGAAAATGGAAACAAACAGTGAAGTCTTCTGGGGGCTGTAGTTCTTCTCTTCAGTAAAAGGTACCCTGGAACTATTTACAGTCCATGGAACTAGAGCATTAACTATTTAACTCCTAGTGCACTACATGATGTTGTGATGTCACAGAATCACAGAATGGCCAGGGTTGGAAGGGACCTTAAGGATCATGAATCTCCAACCCCTCTGCCACATGCAGGGCCACCAACCTCCCCATTTAATACTAGACCAGGCTGCCCAGGGCCCCATCCAATCTGGCCTTGAACACTTCCAGGGAGGGGGCATCCAAAAACTCGTGATGAAGTGATATGAGGTGCAAAAAAGAGAAACATTCCGTTTTCATGGGTGTTGATTAAAACAGTTTTCTTCATAGTGGAAAAATCTCTAACTAAAACCATTCAAAAGCCAGTTAATTATTGCAAGGGGGTTTTCTGAATTGCCAGAGATTTTCTCTTCTGCGTTGCTTCATTTGCATTTATCGCCAGTTAGTGGTTTTAAATAGCAGGTGCAACTGGGAGCAGGAGTGCTCAAGGAGAGAAAAGCTACCTTTTTCTCGGCTGTCATGGATGCCAGTGACTGAACTTAGCTGGACTTCTCTGATGCACTAATGCTAAACCTTCACAAACCTCATGAAGTACTACTAGTCATGAGCACCACCAAGGCTTTTACTTCGGTCTCATATATATTACTTGCATTGAATAAAAATGAGACGTATAATTTTCTTCTGCTGTAATGTCAAAATTTGAGAGGCCCAGGATTAGACTGTCATTTGTTGGGCCTTTTTCCTCCTATTTTAATCAATCAGGCAAAGTATCTTGCTCAGAGAATTAGTGTGGGTAGTGTGCTCAGTACAGAGTGACTGTTTTCTATTGAGACTCTAATTTAATGTATATCACAGAGGGTTTTGATATGTGTCTAGAAAGGCAGCAAATAAGAAAATAGAGAAAAATCAAATGCAGATGAGAAAACTGAATGTTTTACTTGGTAAAGAATGTCATAATATCATCCGAAAAGCACTTCAACCAAGTTCTGGGGCTTGAGAGTGTTAATCTCATTAGCTTCAAATTATTATCCAACTGTTAGCTCCTGGGTCCTTATGGAATCACAGCAACTCATGTCAGATACTGAATAGTGTTAGAGATTTAAGTTAATTTTTGAAAAGTAGCTTTATTTTCTTCTCTTATTTGAACTCAGCTGTGGTTTACTATACTCAATTACTGACTAGCCATGTTGTATTTTAATGGTTGTCTGTAATGCTGCTGAAGAAGCCCAGGTTTTTCCATAAAAGCTGAAGATACATTTATTTTAAGCAGGGATTACCATTCTTGCCAGAGGAATCTTTCTAGTTTTGTTTAATTGTAATGTGGGTGTAAACATATGATTTCCATGGAAATTAATTTAGTTACAGGAGTTTTTTGCACTTTCTATACTGATGTCTATGCTAAACGCAGCTGACAAACATACGACAGTTTAAAGAAAACTCAATTGCCATTAGAGCAGACTATAGTGAACTGCTCAGTATATGTACGTATTGCTTTTCTGGATGAAGCAGGAACTGCTTGAGATCTTGTCCGCTTACTCTCTAATGGCAATAATTTCATAACAAAACCTTACTTCAGTACTCTTTAAAAGTTTTAAACAGAAAGTCTCTTACTCTTTGTGAACTGACATTAGATTTACTGAAGTATAAAACACTTTTTAAAGAACTTCTAATATTATTCCAGGGTAGGATAAAGTTTATGTGATATTTCCAAACCTCTACAGGCAGTTTTAGTACTGACCCTACATTTTAAACTTCTGAAATTGTACTCTTTTTTCCCCCTTGTGTAAGTATTCCAGTTATGTTTTTTGTTTTGTGTTTTTTTTTTCTGTTGCTAACGTGCTCTGCTGCAAACACATACTATAATTTCAAAATATGGTGTATTCATATATCGTATGCAGATGTTTTCAACATACTATAGAAAATGTCAGTTTGAATTATTTCATTATCTAGGAGGACAACAAAGTGTTGAAATTGGTGATAGCTTTGCTTCTGAGTGCATTATTTAAGAAAGGTTTCAAATTCGTGTCAGACAATCTGTTCTGACAACCCAGTCAAACAGTAGATGTAATATTTAGATAACATTTTTCTGCGTATATACAAAGTTTTCTTATATTTTAGCCAAGTGTAACTCTATTCAAACTCTCAACTATTGGTTTCCTTCCTTAACGTGTTGTCATATGTTTACCATTTGTCTAGATTAACTATATTGCTACTAAAAGCTTACTTTATAACAGGAATGGTCTAGTGTGGCACTAGATGAGTGACGTTGAGCTGCTGATCTGTAAAACAACATTAAAATAAAATCTACATTCTGAATGTGTTACTTCCTTACTGCCCTTCCTATAGGGCCGATCTTTTTACTCATTAGCTGATTGCTCTATGAAGACTGCTGCTGAGATGTCTGCAGGCCTTTTCCCTGATCTTTTATTTTTAACCTAGAACTGAGCAAAGAACATTAGCACTCTAATTATGTCTTGTAGATAATTTATATTAGCGTGTAGATACAGAATGTTACAGAAATGTATTAGCAGATGTTATCATATTATATCATCATATAATACTTGTATTCAAAATCTGTTTGCAAATATTAGTAGCCTTATAATACACAATTACATATTTTCATAATAAAATGCACTTTCTATTTTGTCTTTCCAGTTATGGCATGAACTGTCTCATTCAATTTGAGGATTTTGCTAATGTTAATGCATTCCGCCTGCTGCATAAGTACCGTAACAAGTATTGCACTTTCAATGATGACATTCAAGGTAACAAACTCTTTTTCTTCTGTTCTGATGCTTACATGTCAGAGAAATAATTTTCCCTATGCTACTTGAGGATGTTAGTATGGGGTCACATTTAGCCTTGGGTTTCCTCAGCATGGCTTTCTGATGAGCTGTCTTTGACCTTAACCTTTCCTCTCTCATTTATTTCCCTTCTCATGCTTTATTTAGATGTTCACTCTTCAGGGATTTTTTAGTAATTCAATGTGTGCTTAGCTTTCTCATATAAACGATTTACTTCTACTACTTATCTTTAGGCAAATGTCAAGTTTCAAGCCTGGACTGCACTTCTCTCAGGCTTTTTTTTTTTTTTTTTTTTTTTCTTTCCAGTTACAGCTACCATTTCCCTGTACAACAGAGCTTTCTTGATAAATGTCAACACTTATTTCAGTTCTTACACTGACAACACAGCTAAGTATCCTTCTGATTTGTGTTGCAGTCTCAGGGCCGCATTCAATTTTAGAGGGAAATTATCCCCCTGACTCTGACTCTGCTTTCTAGTCTGAGTCATTTGTAGCAACTGACGAAAGGAAAAGATCACGGATGAGAATAAAGATCTCCAATGAGAAAAGTCAGCAGCAGAAGTCAGAGCCTGTGTGACTGTGCTCTGCTGTGAGTTCTGGGGTTTTGCCAGTAAGCAAGGGGGTTGCCTCAGTTCTCAGTGTGGTAAGCCTTGCAATCTTTTCCTCCCAAGAAAGGAGACAAGTTCCTTTGTGAGTTGTCGAACTTCTTGTCAGGAAAACAGCACTGGAAAATGACTTCTTCAGGCCCTTCAGTGCACGATTTCCTTGCCAAGAGATTGAAGATGGAAGTACTAGGGAGAGGCATTCAGGGAAGGAAGGAGCTGTGCACCCAGCTGCCTCTTGCCCCTTCATGATTTCAGGTGTTCTCAGCATAAATGAGATCAAAACTGGGAGCCAAGCAGGAGGTGCTTCAGTTTTTGAAATCGTTTTTGTGATGCTCATGGGACCTAGACTCTATTTCAGGGACTCATGAGTTCCTTAGTCATGCAACCACACAGAGTCTTGAAATTTATTCAGTTTCTGCAATTTAATTTGTCTTTGTGGGTTTTTTAGTATTTCCCTTGGTGAAATTTTGGACTTCGGGGTGACCTCCAGCCATAATACTTATATATCTTCCAGAAGGTGAAGGAGGATGCAGTTAGGCTGCCTTAGCTCTCTGTCATTTGTTCTCGTATCTCCACAAAAAAACCTTCAGTACCTTTTTTGTAGATTGCCATCTTCCCCTGTAATGTGGAAGTGGAATAACAGCCCAAATACAGATCCAGGGATCTCTTCTTCCTATTCCCTCTATCTCTTCCAAGTGTGTAGCACCTTAGGATCTCTCACCTGACCACATTACTGAGGGAGATGGTGGTAATCTCTATAGCAATCCTCAGGGGTTTTCCTTTTCTAAACAGTGTGATTTTTCCAGGCTTCAATAACTGGAATGGGTTGGCCTGTGAGGCTGGGCATATCCCCTCCCTGGAAGCATTAATGGCCAGGCTGGATGGGGCTTTGAGCAACCTGGTCTAGAGGGAGGTGTCCCTGCCTATAGCAGGGGAATTGAAACTAGATGATCTTAAAAGGTCCCTTTCAGTACAAAGCATTCTATAATTCTCCAATACTGACACGTTTTTATTAGTAATCTTATATATGGGAGAAATGTTAGTATTTTCATGTCAAGCTTTACAAAATTTTTAAATGCCTCATTTAAATTAGGTTCAAAAATCTGATTGTCTCCAGTATATTTAGGAAAGAGAGATTGTAAGGATAGCATGGATTTTTCTTTAAGACACAGAGTTTTTTTTTCTCTCCCAAAGTTCTGCCTTGCACCAATGCTACAAAATGAATCAGGGCTTCTGACACAAAGCAAGCAGATTATTAGGGTGGAAGATGGTCTCCACTTGGTGAGCGTCCCTGGAAGGAGACAGTGTTGGGATTCCCAGTTCAGGAGCCTGAAAAATCCCCTCAGAAAAACCATCCTGTTCTGTTTCCTGCCCCAAGGTTGTTGAAGAAACCTGTTAATGCCAGTTAAAGATGCAGATCTGGATTAACAGTGTCTGAAATCCTGAGTCCTTTGCTTAGCACCTAAGCAGGTGGCATGCTGCGTATACAGTCAGGAGCAGCCTTGGTGCTTGCAGTTGTGCCCCTGCTGCTCTGGCAGCCTGGGTGCTGTGTGCCTGACTGCTGGGGGCCTCTGCAATGGTGGAGCCCCTCATAATGCCCAGCTGTGGGCAAAGCAGGACGCCATAGCGCTCCCTTCCCAGTTCTGGTCTGGTTTTGCTGTTCCTGTTGAAAGACTTTTTGCTACTCAAGCACAACCAGTGGCTCAAGTCAAGTTTCCATGACTTAGGAGTTGAGCATTCATTTTATGTGGGTCTCTCAATGTTTGTCACACAGTGATTGCTTTTAGTCACTGCTGATGTGGATGAATTTCTCCAGGTTGCCAATTATTTCAGCCAACTCTTGTGATTTTCCCCACCTTTGTACTTCAGAATTGCCTCAATGGGAAATGACAAAATTCTAGAGCATAAGCCAATCTATGTAAAATGTTTCTATGTGCAGATAATTCTGTAAGTTTTTATTTAGCATTCTAGCACTAATTTATTGTGCCATTTTGGGCACAGAACCTGTACTTTATGCCAACAAAAATAATTTCAATACAGTGTAATTTCTCCATGTAAATAACATCACTATTCCTCATGATCTTAGATGTCATTTGTTTTTAACAGCTGTGTGCTGTTTAATTGAGTCAAAACTTTATTAAAAACAACAAACCTAAAGTAAAAATGTAGAACATATAGGGTTTAATATTATTATTTCATTTTCTGTGTTTTGATTTAAATTAGATGATAAATTTTTAGCAGACCACTTCAATAATTGGGGAAATAAGACCTGAAAGTTATATTATGACCAATTCAACATTTAGTCAGTGCAGTTCTCAGAAATCTGAATTCTCTGTGAAAAATATTCTCCTTTTCAAAATGTAATTCTTTTTAATGCTAACATTGAAAATGTTTCACTTAGTAACTGGAAATTCCAGTCCTTGAAATCAATTGGAAAAAAGGTTTTGTTTTTTGTTGTGATGGGTGTGGAGAGTCAAATCCATTCTCTTACAAGGAATTTGGGAAATATGAAATTGGGAGATATATAGTAATTGAAATGTCACCTGTTCACGCTGGTAAATCCACGCTGAAATTAACATGTTTTCAAACAAGTCCCCCAGAGTAGCTTTTGTATACCTTTCCAAGTGTATGTACAAGAATGTGCATATACAAGTATTCCTCTCTTTCATTTTTCCATCAGTATGGGTGAAAAAATCTTGCCTCCAGGCAGCCTGTTCCAGGTGGCTTTGGTTGGGCAAGGGCTTGGCACTCCCATCACTTCCTTTCAGCCTCAGCCAACAGCAACTCTTTGCTTCATCGCTCCTCAAAGATATCATTTTTGCTCTTTTTCAAAGGCTCCTCTCCTTCCCTGCACGTTCCCACTCTCGTTGCACTGCTCGTGCTGCAGCATGGAGCAGGGATAGGATTTCTATGGGATGTGAACTACCCTTAGCCTTTACCTCACTATTAAATGAGATTGCATCATTTAGATAGGACATTTACTCTCACGTTTGTTTTTTGTTTTTTTTTTTTCCCAGTAGGAGTAAAAGAGGACAATGCATTTTTTCCAGCACTCTGTGTCAGTTGGAAGAATGACACTGTTAACATATGATTTCTATTATGTCGTGTTTTGAGAAATACAAGTTTTGGTTTTACCACTTCCTAATACTTTAGCCCAGAATGAATACTTAAGATCTTAAGATGTTTTGCAAAGCTTCCTCTCCTTTTGTTTGCTTTGTTTGCTAGCATTTAAAGATGCTGTTGAGAAAACAAAATAAAGGAAATAATGATCTGATTACATATTTTTTTTTAATTCAAATAATGTGTAAGTGCTTCAGTGCCATAAATCAGTTATTGCTTATTTAAATTAAACTGCATCCAATAAAAATTAAGTTCCCCATCCCAT